TCGTTTAAAATTTGAAAAATCCAATAATTCAAATAGTAACAATGTTAAAAAATTAGCAACATTAATCCGAGAAAAAGATTTGAACAGTTCAGATAATGAAAGTCCCGATGAAAGTGATACTGGTATGTATTTTGTTCTTTTTAATGAAACACAATCTAACAGGAGTTTTGAAGTGGATAGGGTAGACATTTCCTCATAGATTCTGACAGATGCAAACCAGAGCCTGTCATAGATGCTAGCCAGAGATCATCATGGTTTGTGAAAGATGCTAGCCAGAGACCGTTACAGGTTGTGACAAACGCTAACCAGAGATTTTTATGGATGCTAGGTAGAAATCATGACAGACGATGTTGATATATGAACAAAAACTGTGTCTCAGTAACGCCTCATTAAAATATATGAACTACTTTCTTATTGTAATTCTGAAAGATTAGGTAAAAGGTTACTGAAAAAATGTGTGCTAAAATAGATAGAATACAATCATCTTTCTATGATTAGTGAGAACAGCTACATTGTGTTTTACATTTTTTAAAAATTAATTCAATTTAAAAAGAAAAATAACATTTTATAGAAACTATGAAAAATGATGATGAACCAACAATTACAAATGATCCAGCAGCCATAACAGCCGATGATCAAGATATTGAAACCATTGATGAATCGAAAATCGATGATTTAGATAAACGTTTAACACTTATTACACGAAAATATACACTTATTAAACGTCGTGTTATTGATAAACATTGTCGTACACGTGCACTTCATCTTGGACAAGATCGTTATCGTCGTCGTTATTGGTATTTTTCACATTTACCAGGAATTTATATTGAAGGTTTGACATCGGGTGATATATCACCAAATGATATAAAAGATACTGTAGAAAATGCAACAAAACAAAAACATGATAAAACTGAAGAATTAAATTCATTATCACGTTCAGCACAACGTAAAAAACAACCAACAAGAATTACAAATTTAACACCGCCATCACCATCATTACCCGTAAATTCTATTGAACAAGTATCATTAGTTGACTTAAATAAAATTAAAAGTGAAATTTTTGATCATGATCAAGAACAACAACAATCGGAACAAATAAATTCTTTAAATAATATTCCTGAAGATCTTGCCACTATGGATTTATCTGCTTTTTGTCTAGCTGCTAAACGAAATAATAATGAAGAAAAAGTTGAACCGAGTGATGATTTAAATAATAATAATAATAAACGTAATTTAAATGAAATTAATAATAATAATAATAATGATGATGATAATCTTCCACTTGATTTATCGTGCTCAAAATCAAAACGTTCATGTGAAGAAGATTATTGGACATCACAACATACACAAGCTGCATATCCATTATTATCAAATGTAAATAAATATGATCAATTTCAAGAACTTAATAATCTTGCAACAACAGCTATTTTATTAAATAATATTAAACAAGAAAATATAACATCAAAAAATATTCTTAATTTAACAAATACAAATCAACTAATAACACCTTGTAATTTATCAACATCAACTAAACAAGAATCATCAACAAATAATTTTAAACAAATTGAACAATCTATAAGAGAAAAATTTCAATATTCACAACCATTACCTATTCCAGATGGTAAATATTTTACTAATAGGAGTAATGTCTTTCGGAGAAAAAAAACGTAATATAAGCTTGTCAATTTTGATAAGATTTCGAAGCAAATAATCTTTTGATGATTGATAACATGTCACAAGTAGACATGCAATTATGAATTCAAATGAACGAATTCTTAACATGTAATGAAAGCTTATTGTGAATTTTTTTCTTAGATTGTATAATATAAAGGCTTATCAGTGCAGCTCCTTTGGGACTAAAATATCAAACTCATATGTATTCTTTAGACTCATTATACTAATGCAAAATAGTTATAGTGAAAAGTCTCTTGCAGACTATAGTTTATCTTGTTCATATTCGCTTGTTGTTTTCATTTTTCTTAATTTGACATTAGTATTATTCTAACCATTGAGTTAACTAGCAAATGAACCTATTGTATATATCTGTTATATCCACAACAGGTTTCAACTATTTCGGCAAGCTCAGAAAAACTAATATTGATTATTTATCTAAGTTATAATTTGATCAATTTCCATTTTTTTATGTTGCTCGTATGACGACTATGGTGAAGCAATATATCACTACTCACCATACTTGACGTCTTGAATGTAATGAGCAAAAATACCAAGCTCTATTTTAGCCATTCTTAGTTTTGAGGGAAGATCTAAGTCTTGTTGTTAATATTGTTCAACGATTTGTTCCAGTGATAAGGAGTCTGACACTTGTTGTCTTCGATTGTTATGGAAATGTGCCCAATGATCATTGGCTTTTTTCCTCCTCTTGTTACTTAGCAAAGCATACTCATTGACCTTTAATTCCTGCTTCTATGAAGGAGAAACCACAAAACTTCGACTTCAAACTTGTACTCACTATTTTTTGCAGCGTCAATTCGAGACAATGTCGTTATTATACATTAACTGATTACATCCATTTTTATATCATCGTTAGAGATTGTATGTGTATTCCATGAGTTTTCTGTTAAACTCATTAGAATTTCGAAGCAAAGATTATTATTTTCAGCTTTATTTTATTCTCTCATTTATATTCTAAGGAATGATATTCATAGCACGAATCCGCGAGTCAAACTCGCACACTTCTTTGAAGTTTTGCTCTGTAAACGTATTTGGACATGGCTGGTTCATTGTTTTAGTATACTTTCAGAATATCTTAAACCATGTGGCGACATAGAACGTGCTCAGCATAAGCATGCGTTAGAGCGTGAGGCAGTGCAAATCTTAATCATGGATCTCTGATTCACAGATATTTAAAGAATAATTTTAACAATACTCACGTACTATTAGTTTTATTTAATAGAATAAAAATATATGTTTTTGTTTTTATTAGATGTTCAATCTGGTTGGTGGTCTATTCAAACATCAGAAGAATTACGTAGTTTAATGAAATCATTAGCTAAACGTGGTCAACGTGAACGATATCTTTGTCGAATGCTTCAACGTTATTATGATGTAATAACAAATTCTATGAAATTATATTCACAATCAAATGTAAAAACTGAAAGTTCATCATCATCATTATCTACGGAAAATAAAGTGGAAAATAACCATGATGAACAACAACAACAACGACAACAATTATCATCATCAAATGATTCAATCGAAAATAATGATTCAAATTATAATGATACACATGAAATGGATGTTTTAAATGAAATTTATAATTTATTAGATCGTATTATTGCATCAAGTCTTCAATGTCGTTCTTATGATATAAATTTATCTCGTAAACGTTTAACATATTCGGATATTCAAGCTAAAGGTTCAGATATACTTGATGAAGCAAAGCATTTATTAACTGATATTGAACGTAATATTGAACGACGTTATTTAAAACATCCATTTGTTCGTAAATATGAAATTAGTTTATCACCATTAAATCGTATAAATCAAAATAGTACATATCATCATACATCAGAAATTTCAACAAATGAAATTGTTTCATCATCTAAATATGATGAAGTACCACAACAACTTGAACGTTGGAGACGTACTGTTAATGAATGTCGTACACCAGCACAATTAGCATTATGTTTAACACAATTAGAACGTTGTATTGCATGGGAACGATCAATAATGAGAGTTTATTGTGAAATATGTAATTCTGATGATAATGAAGAAAAATTATTATTATGTGATGGATGTGATCATGGTACACATACATATTGTTTTATACCACCAATGTCATTTATACCACCTAATGATTGGTATGAATTAAAGAAAGACTTTTTTTAAACAAAAATTTTTGTTTTTGTCATTTAGGTATTGTTATGTTTGTATTGGTAAAGCAAAAGGTGAAAATTTATGTTTTGTTTGTGGTAATAAAAGTGATAATCAATTAAATCAATGTGAATATTGTGGAAAATTATTTCATGAAGATTGTTTAAAAAATGCTAAACAACAACGTGGCAAATGGTTATGTGTTTTATGTGCAGCTAATGATACAAATTCTTCTAATAATGGAAATATAACAACAACAACAACAACAGCAGCAGCAACAAAATGTGTAAGATATACATATCTATATTAACTCTAACACAAATATCTTTAGGAATATTATTTGTTTTCCACTTAAGGATCTATGTGATCATCAATCGATAACATAAATATAATACAAACAGTTGTTCTTTTTTTTATTATGGACATGTCTCTAGAGAAAAGACTTGAGTACAAGAAGAAAAAATAGAAAAACTGATAGCTTATACGATATTTATCTAGGCCTTTTTCAGGCCGTTAAAATCATGCAGCATTATTCACTATTCAGTAAAGATATGCGGGAGTAAGTTATCTTGAGTCTCACTCTGAAAAAATCTATTCTAGAATTGATTCGTATCACTTCTAAAAAAAATCCTACAATGATTTAGAAGATAATCCATTTATGGACATAGAATAATTCAACTATAATCGTTAGCTCCGGTTATGACAACCTTTCTTTGCCGTGGTTCCGGTCTCGGCAAGCTTTGCAAATTTTTGTTGCGTACATCTCTTGTATTCATATATGAGCTACTGTATTATAAGAAAAACAATAATGTTATTAGTGTACTGTACTAAGTGTTTATAATGCGTACGTAAAAGCATAAAATTAGAATGAATCTTAAGTAGCCAACAAGCGTTCACATGTACTTTTATATAGCCTATTTGCATAAATAATTGTTGAGAGTAATCGAGTGGATATTAGTAACTTTACACTCGAACATATCTAAATGAGAAGCGGTTTCTTCTAATATTGTGTGCTTATAACAGTCTGATGAAACTGTCTGAGATCTACGCAGATTATAGATAGAGACTGTAAGATCAAGAATTCTTTGATCCGGAACTAACCAAACAGGTTCTAATCTCAAATGCTCAAGTCAAGATATAATGAATTTTTTTTTCTTTTTCAGCAAATGGGTCGTCAAACATCTCGTTCATTAAATTCACGTCAACCAACAAACAATTCCACCGTAACAAATACAAATGGTGATTTAACAACTCAATCATCATTAACAACAAATACAAATCGTAATAGATCAAATAGTAATCGAAAATCAAAATCCAATAATAATGAATGTTTAATATCACAAGAATCTCCTTCAAATTCTTCTCATGCTGATACAACAATAATGAGTGTTCTGAATGATTCATCATCAAATGATATGGATGATGATATAGCATCACCAACAATAAGTAATACAATTAATAATAATTCAAAGAAAAAATCTTCAAAGAAATCTAAAACAAACAAAGATATAAAAGCTTGCAGGTAAAAACAAAGACAAAAAGTAAATTGTTTAAAAATGATTTTCTCTTTTGAAGAATTATTTTAAATGAATTATTAAAAAGTGATGTATCATGGCCATTTCAAACTCCAGTTGATGCTAAACAACATCCAGAATATTATGAATGTATTAAAAATCCAATGGATTTTTCAACAATAAAAAAGAAAATGCGTAATAATCAATATACAAAACGTGAAGAATTTTTACATGATGTTGAATTAATATTAAATAATTGTGAATATTTTAATGAAGATGATAGTCCAGTTGGTCAAGCTGGACATTTATTACGAACATTTTTTCAATCACAATGGACGAAACAATTCGGTTAGATTCCTTCTTCCTTTTTTTTTCTATGTGCCATTGTAAATACGAGAAAAAGAAAAAAACGTTTATGTTGAATCTCTCCTTTTTTTTCTGTTTTGTTTTTTTGTTTTTGGCTAGAATGAAAAAAAAAATATTCGAAAAAAAAACCGATTATTGTATTGTATATCTCAGATAAAGACTTATTATACGCGCTTTTTTGTTTTTCTATCTTGAGGTCAAGTAAACCAATCAATGATGAGGTCTTTTTCTTTCTTTTTTTTGGTTTTCTATCATTATACAGTATATTGTTTTGTATATCATCATCTATGCGGTCAGATCATTGGTGTTTTATTTGTATGTGTGCATGTGTGTGTGTCTAGTTGAAAAAAAAATTATTATTATGTGGTGGACATATAACGAAATGAGTATATATATATATTAAATTGTTTATTGTATTATTTAATAAGTAATATAATGACGTTCGATTTGAATTAAAATTGATGTTTATATCGTATGAAAAAAAACATAGATTTCATGCTCTTATTTGTTTAATATGGTTTTTGTTGGATCATAATTGTCTTAGTACGATCAATCTATTAGAAGAATGTATCGGATTGACGGAAAAGACATGAAAGAACAAATGTCAGGAAAAAAGGGAAAATGCCAAAGAGGACAAAAAATAGATGAAGTCTAAGTGATGAGAGTGAATATCAGCAGTGGCAGATCCAGGAGGAAATGAAGACAATTGTCGCCTTCCACTTTGAAAGTTATATTTGCTGTACCCTAAGTATGTACCTTTATATTTCTATGAAATTCATAGAGACAAATAGTGAGGTTTTTACGTGTTATTATTTGTATCAAATATTCTTTCTCTCGTGAGATATGACTTCCATTTCTGTAAGATAGCTGATAAGCGTTTGTAGAGTTTAACATTGAGATTATCAACGGTCATGTTACTAGTTTATTTGTGCTCGTACATTCCATACTCAATAAATATGGGATTTCATAAAAAGATCTACGTAATTCAATTTCTGGGTCACGTAGATATGAATGTGTGAATGAGTGGAAGTTTGTGAGTCAAGTAAAAAGCGTAGACCTCCATCTCACAAAACATGAAATTGAAATTTGTAAACTTAACTTTTTCTTTTTTATTGTCTTTTTTTTCATATGATCGAACAAAATTCTTGTTGTTGTTAACATTATTTTAAAAAAATTTCATTTCCGACTATTTCCTCTTTTTTCTGCTTTTTTCATTCGACTTTTTCATTTTTTCTATTTTTCTCTGCGGCATTTTCCACTAAACCCAAATGCATAAGATGAAAACATATTGATGCTATATAGAAAATTCTAATAAAGTTATGCGTATATCTGTAGTGTTTTCAATAGTAATAAATATTTTAATTTTTTACTTCTTAGTGCTAATCCAACAGAGTTGATGTTAATACAATCAAAGGAATGGTCGATGCAGATACTGATTATGGCATGGCTATAGTTAGATTTGAGTGAATTTATTTCCAATTTTAAATCACCCATTTTCTATTGTTTTAAGGCCGCGCTCAGGTGAAGGACCATAACAAAAGCTATAGGTGTTTATCTTTTATTGATGAGAAATTATGTAAAAGCATGCGTAGGATGCTTTTTGGTTGGCTACTAGTTCTAATAAAATTCTTAACATGAAGATCGTGCTATTTATGACTTTATATTAAAAATAAAATGATTTTAGGAAAACCATTTTTATATAATCCACTACGAATGGAAGAATCAAAAATGGTCCTCGTTGTTATGAAAAATGTTACTTTCACATCTCTAATCAACAAATTTTTAAAAACTACTTTAGGTATAGATGTATATATGAACCTGACAAACATCAGAATAATACGCTTGTATAACCGAATAAAATGAAGAAAAGAACGATTTTTGTCACTTTTTTGAAAAAAAAATGTTTCTCTAACACAAAAATTCTAGCCAAGGAATGATTGAAAGAAGTTTAATTTTTTTACGAGTTTGTAGTATGCTGAAGACTCTACATAATATTCGGGGATCGATACTTTATTATTTCAAATCGATAATTTCTATGAATAAGTCAAAAATAAACCAGAAAGAGATTAAGGGCTACTATAGCTATGACACAGAGAGCAGTTTTTATTGATTCATATCTTAAAATATACTTTTCAAATCCATTCAAACAATCAAACGTATATGCTAGTCTGTTCTTGTGAATGAAAATTCGAATCGTTGTTAGTTTAAATTATAGCCTACTGATAAAATTTAAATATTGAGAATATGTTTTAGATCTACTCATAAGGTCAAAGAGTATAATGATAAGATGAAAAACAATTATCTACTAGACCTATGATAATGTCATACTAGTTTCAATCGTTAGAGTGGTTTAAAAGTTCTTTGAATAAGAATTATCGGAAAAATTCATCTCAACTTATGAGCTTGGACTATCACAGATTTGTTATCTAATTCGAGTACATCTGAGTAATGAAATAAGAGCATGTATTTCAGTAATATTAGTTGATCGAACTTATTTTCTAATAAAAATAAGTACTGATATAGGCTTACAAATTGAATAATGGTTCAATCTATTTCTCATGAAGAATTCGACACTTGAATGTAATCAAGTTATCCAATCTTCTAATTTGAAATAATCACTTTAATCCATGATATTTACTTCAGTTTTCTATTTGATAAATGTAAAAATCTACTTCATTCTTTACAATTAATAGGAAATTAAAAGTTTTGTTGTGTAGAATATACCTCTAAAAGTTCATAAATATTATGCATCAAAATTTTTCCAACTACAAATGATGTTTCTAAGTATTCACGATGCAGATAGCTTTATGAAAAAATCAATGAACCTTGAGAGTATATATCAACGAACTTTCACTAACAAATGGCTTGTAGATTCGTCAGATAGTTCTGTAACAAAAATCATTCTTCATCGCATTATATTAACATCAACTCAAGAAATCATTACTTCACGACAAATGAAAATAAATTAGTGAAACTACTGATGAAATACCACAGAATGAAATATGTATTTTGCAAATAAAAGTTCTGGTAAACTAGTATAATCATAATGCACACGCTAAATCATGGTTGAAAGAATAAAATCTGAGTTTATATTACTGTGTTTAATGTTGCCTGTCACTGAAATAAGATTAATTTTATTTATTTGTTGTTTTCTTTTCGTTATAGTCCTGTAATAAGTTTTAATACTTGTATTTTTTCATCATCGGAACGGTTCTACTACTATTGAAGATTTGCTTTCATTTAAACTCTATATTTTGATAGCAAGTGATGATTAGTTGTCGAGTCCTTTTTTTTCTCTTAATTTAAACTGTATAAAATTTAATCAGTAGCCGATTTTTTTTATTTAATAAAGTATTCTCTTAGATCTTCATGTTTACAAAACCAATAACATGTTGAAAAGAAAACAAAAACATCTGATTATTTTTCATATGCCATAGTACAAGTAATATTTTTGCGTTCAACTTCAATTAAACGAAATAATTGAGCTTGTTGTTTATTCTTTGCACATGCACATAAATGTGAATTTTGATTGTTAACATAATAAAAACCAGTTGATAAACGTGATTGAAAAATAATAGTTGAATTTGTTTTAATACATGTTGATTTATTATCAATTTGAATTATTTTCAAATATCGATTAACATGTTCTTTACCATATTTCATTCGAAATAATTTTTCATTTGATAGATAAAATTCAGTTCTATTAGCATCAATTAATAAAATATATTGTTCGGATCTTAAACATCGATGTCGACGTGGTGTACCATTATTTGTTAAAATAAATAAAGAACCTGTTTGATTTGTTGATGTGCCTATTCGTAGTTCACGATCAACAATAATAACTGGTAAATTTGTATCAACAGTTAGAAATTTAACATATGTTAAAACACCTGATGGTCTATATGACCATTGTTGTTTACTTTGATTAAAAAAACCAATAACTGGATAATGATCGGACAATTCTAATAAAGGAATATTACGTGTATTATAAAATAAATGATTTTGACCAAGTAAATGCCATTGTTTAGATGCCATTCGATCTGTTATAAGATTATACCAAAAAGTATGTTTTGGTGTATGATTTTTATGTATTAAAACATAATCTAATAATTGATTTGCATGTTTTGAATTAGTCATTGCATTAAATGAACTATCCCAACTGCATGGTATACTTGATGGATATAAATATTGTTCATGAACATTTAATATTTTAAGCATTTTTTCATATTGTTTCACATTATATTTATTAATATTAAAATCACCAAGTATAAAAACAAGTTCATCAGAAGAAATATTTCTTAATTGAAGAAAATTATTTAATTTATACATTTGTTTTTCACGTATTTTATCTTCACCATATAAATAACAACCACGATGATCATTTGGTTGTAAATGTGTTCCAAACACATGTATAGGATGTTTATATTTACCATATAAAATTTTAGCATAAACAAAACCAGTTCGAACAAAATTATGTGCACTACATGAATGTTCATAAAAATATTGTACAGCATAAATAATTGGCCATCTACTTAAAATTGTAACACCACCACTAACAAATTTTAATGAACTAGAACTGATATGATCATTCCATGTTTCATTCCATTCATCTTTATCATCTTCTTCACCAAGTATTGGTGTACTATAAGGATATGTTTCACTTAATGCATTAAGTAATATTTCACTTGGTTTTGTTTGAAAAACTTCTTGTAAACAAAGTATATCAGTTGAACGAAGAAATTTGGCTTTAGTTAATAAATGAGCACGAGTTATTTGATCACGTTCAAAGACAAGTATACTTGGTAAAAGCATAACATTATAACTCATTAATGTTATTTGATAATGATCATTATTAGCTTGACAACCAATTAGAATTACAAGTAGAAACAATTGTTTCATCTTTGAAAACGAAACAAAAAAAAAAAAAAAAAAGAAGAAAACAAAAGAAAAGAAACAACTGATCTTTCTTCTTATCATTTAACATTTTCTTAAAACGAAATGTTAAATTTGATAATAAGAATGTCAAAAATTTTGTTTTTGTATTATTGTTATATTAAATTATTATTATACTTTTGACATTATTATTAACATAGACAAGTTATATAAATATATAATAAAGTTTATATATAGATATTTCGTTTTTACGGTTTTTATCGCATTGAATTTCTAATTGTAAACTTTGATAATTTGAGTGCAAATGCATTAAGATATGTATGTATGAATTGTATAGTGTATCGTAACAATAATCGATGACACGCTATTTGGTTTAAGTCGGATCATTATATAGGCTTTGCTCAACCAATGATCATGCGAGAATGAATTCTTTAAATAAATGACTAATCATGACGATACGTAAAGGCTTGTTATCTCCATTTAATCTAATGAATCATCAACGAATCCGAATCCAAGTGAGAAATCGTTGAATTGAAGACTATCCATCTAAATGATGATATACAAAAGACAAATATCTTTGTTTATTTGATAGATGCATGTATTCTTATATATTGCTGTACTTGATCTTGATTAAAAGTTTCAATTTCATATAAGGTGAATCACAAATTCTGACAACACGAAATGGCAAAAATATTTTTAATTTTATTTTAACAAAATTTCATCGTTTCTTAGAATTTATCAAATAGTTTTTTTTTTAACTCGGCTTCTAGACTATTTTTAATTATCTGGGAAATCGCATAAGTCAATGAGTTTTCATTTTATATTTGATCAGATAAATTACGCTTGCTATAATCATTTAGGCCAAAGATTATGTCGTGCAGGATCTGATGAAAACGATGGATACGGCATTTAATTAATACCGTTTTATATTAAATAATTGATAATATCTGGATGAATTTGAGATCGATCATTATCATGAAATAATTTTATACCTTGTGCATCTGATAATAACTTTTCTTGTTTTCATATACTATAGGAAAACGGTCATTTTATTAAAAAAAATAAAGAAAACAAAGTTTTTAATTCAAATCTACTTCGGCAAATGGTAGTTGTTTGTGATTCACCTTTATTAATCCATCTTACATTAGTTGACTTGCGTTTAATCTGTTTATGATAAATTTATGTCCTTTTATTTATAATAATATTACATAATCACCATGATCCATCACGATGTTTCATCAAATTTTCAGGATAAAGTCTGATTCGCTCTTGCTTTTGTTCATCATTAAGTTGATGAGACACCTAATGTCATGTAATTTTTCTTATCTGTAGACAATCGTGGATAATTTTTCTATTGTGCCACAAGAGAGAGTAGTCTCAATTGTAATATCATCATATGTTGAATGTCGATCATTGCTGATAATTTTTCCTATCAGTTCAATACTTACATCTATCAGCTACGAAACTAAGCGATCATATTGAAGATTATCATTGATATCTTTTCTTCCTTTATCAACACGCTTCGCCCTAGAGATATCATAATATTCATACGATGAGTAACGACGAACTACAAATCACGATATCCAACAAAACAGATACTCATACATCTATTAAGTTAGGTATTCATCTCATTATGTTATTTCGAATTCATTCAAGATCATAAGTGTAGCAGCATATGAATACTTCGAGTTCATAAGGTGAATATTGTGTTATCTATGTTTTGGATCTCAGTACCCGAATTATGAATGTTATGACATTCCTCCTTATATTTTAACTGATTGATAAAATTGCGAACAACGATGTCAGAACTTTTGGTTAGAACTAAGTATTACTCACTTTATTCTATTGAATGAAAACATAGCTGTAATTATCGATATTTCAGAAAAAATAAAAACTACCTATAATTTGAAATGTTCTAAATTTCTAGGTGTCATATTTTATCGATCTATTCGATGTCATGAGCGTATTGAGATGATAAGAAGATAATGATAAAAATTTTTCATCTTTTAAATGTGATTTATGTTAATGTATATTTAATCAGATAAAATTATATTTTCTTTTGATCATAGTGTCATTGCCAATGTTATAGATTATAATCAACACATGTCATTTGAAACGATCCGCTGCATTAACTCGTGAATATTTTACAAAAAAAAGCGAAAAAAAAATCAAACATATTGACCTTTAATCAAAGAGCGAAATAGTCTAAAACGTTTATGACTTGAACATCGTTCAGTTTTATGTCAAAGTATTATGTAAATAGTTTGCATAGAATTACAAAAAAACATTTTCAATGAATTTTATGTCATTTAAAAATATTTCGTTGCCCATTTAATATGATAATAATAGTAATTCATGATAATAGGTAGTCTTCAACTATACGAAATAAAATGTTTACATTTAACAACTGTTGATAACTCCTATTTAAAAATTTGTAGCTGAAAATAATAAAAAGTGTTAAATCTTTTTTCGTAAAGTCGTCAAATTCATAATTAGTAAGTTTTCTAGTGCAATTGAGAAATTAATAAAGTCATAAACGAACAAGTTTAAATTTAAACTCAATTATCGGATAAAATCGCATTTATATACAAAATAAATGATATCTATCTATAAAAACATTACTAATCTAAATAACAAAAAACATTCCTGTCTAAGCCAATACACATTATCTTATAGTTAAAATAAAAGACAGCAATCATTTGAATAATAATCTCGTTGTTGTCACCTAGGCATTTATACGTGTGTACAAACACATTCCTACGTTGATATATTATCACGTATTCAATCTTTCATTTTTGATTAAGTGTGCACATCAAATATATCATTCATTTCTTTTTTTTTTGTTCAACTTTATAGCGTAGTCTTCATCATCACGCTTCCTGACTTAAACTTAGAAAAGAAGAAGAGAAGAAATTACGCAAGACTTACCATACATTTGACCGGATACTCATAGCGTTCATATGTATGCATACATGTGTTTACATCACCTTTATATATACATATATATATATGTATAAATGTATATAGCTGTGTCACTTTTACTCGTCTTCACGTACAAAAAGAAACGTGAAGAATAAAAGCAAAACGAACATTATCACGGAAGTGATGAATTTTTAATTGACCGATAAAATACAAAAAGTTATTTCGACGAAATATGTTTGCTACCGCTGATTGTACAAATCATTACCCAGAACAAACAATATATGATAGTGAATGGACTGAAAATACTCGCACTGGAATATCATGGCTTAATTTATTAACATCACAACCAATTCCAGAAGAAACTGATAGTATTCATGATACTTGTACTCCTGTACAAAGTAATAGGCAAAGTAGTTGTTCATCATCATCAGTAGAAAGTTGTTATGTTGTTCTTGAAATTCAACGACGTCGTTCAGTTGATGAAACACCGAATCAGATTAAACAAGACCAAGATGAAGTACAAGACGAAGAATTAACAGAAAAAGAAAAAGAAAAAGAAGTATATGAAGATACACAAGAAGAAGAAGTGCAAGTAGAAGAAGAACAAATCCAAAAAGTGGTCGAAGAAGAAGAAGAAGAAGAAGAAGAAGAAGTAGAAGAAGAAGTAGAAGAAGAAATAGAAGAATTAAATTTTGCTCAAACAATTAGCAATGATAATCATAATGTACACTATGAACAGTTTGCTGTACCAATGGCAACAGAGGTAAAATTAAACGAATAAAATCTAACGAAAGAGGTCTAATAACTGATTAATCACTTGACTTGGAACTATGTGTATCGTGTAGAGCAAAGTGAGTTTTGGATTTCGTGAAAAAAGTTCAGGCTCTTAACTTATTGCTGCGTAAGTACTATAAATTTACGATAGTTTTCAAATGATGCCATGGTTAAATTTCATATAGATACAGGCTTTATTGAGAGTATTTTATTGTGAAAATTTCAAGTTTTTCATTCACTTCAATCTTGACATGAGAACATCGAATCTGCCGCTATACATGAGTGATGTAAAAAAGACACTTTCACAAATAGCCGAATCTTAAGATAAGAACAGCGACGAGAAATGAAACATGCACAACACCCTATTCTCGTTAAGGCTCTCTCACAACTCTTAAAAACTAATCTTGGAACAGGTACATTCAAATCGTGTAAAATTTTCAGCAATATATCTGGATATTTTCGAAAGATATTCAGCAAACATACATAACAAATTACTCGTTTGGAGACTGTGAGTTCTCTGTTAGTCTTCATTCTATACATTTAATTTGTTTCTTGGAAAGAGTGTGTTAGAAAACAGGGCATGGCAAAGGTTTTTTTTTTTTATTTTTACTTTTTAAGGGAAGAAAAGTTCATTTCTTGAAAAATAGCGTCCAAATCATCCAAGTAATCTTATATAATCGTAACAAGGGTTAGTTGAAAAAAGGACTCTGCCATGCCTTGCATTTTGACATGTTCTTTCAAAAGAAGAAAAGCCATTGGCTACAGTGGAGCTTCTTCAAGCATTCGGGAATACGCGATCAAATAAAAGATAAACAAAGAAAAAATGAAAAAGGTTTTCTGCTTTATCTGAAAAAGCTATATTTTTCAAGCAAAAAAAAGACAAAAACTTTTGGAAAAGTTAGGCGACAAATAAAAACTCATGTTATTTACAGAAGCTTACATCTTGGGGCATCTTTTCATGTATTTATCTGAATTTTCATCTTTTTCACGACTATTGACTTTTTTTCTAGGGAGTGGGACGGTTTAAGAACTGTTTCAGTACAAGGATTCAAGTCGAAATTCGAAAATCATTCCTTAAGGGTCAGACGTATTTTCACGATGTTCAGAACCCATTGAGATCTACATGATGCACGCAGTCCTAGGAAAAATAGTAATGTTTTTCTTTTATTTAGATACCTAGGGAAGCACATGTTGTTAAGCGTCAACAAGAAAAATTTATTGCTATTGAAGAATATGCTCAAGTGACTGAACCTATAATACAAGAAATGTCAAATGATATTCTTTTTGATAAAGCTAAAACATTGAGTCAGTTTACTAAACGGATGAAAGCAATGTCTTATTTATCAATAAAAGAACAACAAAATTATTCACCATCATTCGATGATGAATCATTGAATATTACAAAACTCAAAACAATACGAAAAATAAATGAATATTATCCAACAGCTATTTCAACTGTAACAGCTGAACAACAACTACCAACTATTCAATATTCAAATTTATCACGTTATTCAACAACAAGTCTTGATTCAATTGAAAATAAATCATTATCATCATCACCTATTCCGACACGAATAACAACAACATTTTCTAATTTATCATCTCAACGTACATCAAATTCAACTCAAATTCAACGAACAGGTCCAACAATGGGTACAACCACACTTGCACGTACATTTGCATTTGATCGTGCTTGTATGGAAAAATATGGTCGAGTACAAGAACAAGAAAATAAGCCTGTTGAAATTCCATTAAAATCAAATGGTGAAATTTTTATTAAAAAACAAATAGAATTATCTGACAAAAAAACCGGACATACGTATGTGTATATTTGAATAGATAAAAAGAAAGAACAGAATATATCTAATTTGATTATTTGTTTTAAAAAAATATTTTTCAGTGAACAACTTCTACGTCCAGAAAATACGATTAATTGTCGTTCATTTACTAATACTATCCCAACATCCTTCTATATCGGTGGTGAATCAAGTATGATTGATGAATTAGAATTTGAACATTGTTCAACAAATTCTACTTCGTTACCAATATCAAATAGTCTATCAAAAGCATCATCTATTATATGTTTAATGAAAAAATATGCTCGAACAGTTAAATCTGATTATCTTTTGTCACATAATAAAAGCAATACTGTTAATCTATCGTCAGAACCAAAATTACTTCAAGTAAAATATCTTGATGGTAGACTTCCATTAAATGATGAACAAGCTCGAGAATCACTTCGAAAAAATTCAACATTAACTGATTCAATAGCTAGTCGACTTAATCGATTTGGTTTACAAAATACGTCCTCAACACAAGATTTATCATCATCACCAACACCATCATTTTATGCATCGTATCGAAAACGAATGTTTAATCGTTTTCGATCTTATGTAGAAAACAATTTTATTCAACCACCACCATCATCAGTACCACAATCGAGACCATGGCAACATAAAACAATTAGTGAACTCTTAAGTGAAAAAAAATATGTAGTTAATCGTCATCGATGAGAAAGAACAAAAAACAAATACATACTATATTAATTTAAGTTTTATTTAATAATAAATAGATAGATGGTTATTATGGATATATATATACACACATATTTATATATGTCGTAGGCCAATCTAGAATCGAAACTAGGCTAATCCGAGATTGGTCTACGACATATATATATATATATATTAAAAAAAGAAAAGAAATTGCATTAATATTCTATTTAATATTGTTAAAATTAATCGACGATGATTGTCAGTCATATAACAAGAGTTTCATTAATATTAGGGTAATGAAGCATGATGACCTCCGTATTTTCTCAATATCTTCTTTAATTTTAACAGATTTGGACGGAACTGTTTTCTTTCGAAAGATTCAGGGTTTAGTTCTTTACACAACCATAAACAAATGAATGCCACAAAAATCAAAATAAAAATAAATTATAAAAAAGTTATTGTAGTAAGACTACAATAACGCAACGTTAGCAATTTTCAAGCACAAAATTCAATTCTCTTATGTTTATGTGTTCTCATATAAAGCTTCATATAGAGACAAGTTGCAACGAATTCTACTATCCGCTTATGTAAAGTCTCTAAAGCTCTATCTTATTAATATGCTCAAGAATTTTCATAATGAAACCATATTTCATAAAATAAGCATTGCTTGTTTTTCAAGTTTGAAAAAAATCCGTTTTTCTATTTGAAATAACGTTTATTTAGTCCTTATTTTATGCAATAAAGTTCCTTAATAAAAATTCTTGAACATAATAATCAGATACAGCTTTTGAAGTTCTATAAAGCGGACAGTACAAAGTGTCTACATCGTTCTAGATGAAAACACATAAATACAAGACAATTGTATTTTTGTTTTGAAGTGGTTGATGTTGTATGTCTGCAGTATTACGATAGCAGCTATTTTACTGGCTTTTATCTTTATAGCATACATTTCAATATGGTTATATAGATAAGCAAATGATGAATCGCTTGACAAAAATTCAGATCGAATCTTTAAAAACTAGAGAGGATATTGAGAAAATACGGAGGCCCTTCTTTATGGGCTATTCATTATAAGTATCTTGATAATAAAAACTTTTCTTTTCAATTAAATTAACTTAAGAAAATTAAACATGAAAAATATTTCGTAGCTTAACAAAACATCAATAAATAATTCATTTGTCATAATGTTTCAAACGTTGAATGAATGATTATTAAACTTATTTTTCGATTATCGAGTATCATCATCTATTTTCAAATTAATTAATGGAACTTCATTCTTAGGTAGAGATTGACCGGTTCGGATCTGTACCTTTCGAGCAGCTTTTTCTTTTATTTATGAAGAAAAACGCTTCCAGATAAAAAGAATCTTGGTTTTGTTACTGACGTGCCGCACTCAAAATAGAACAAAATGTTTTGGACAGTTCACTTTAAGAGCTGAACAGTTGAAATACATTAGTCTCTATCAGCGGAAATATTTGAAGAAATCTTTCGTTCATTTGATGTGAACTTTGAACCGGAAGCTAGTTGAACTCTATTTTTGAGTTTACTCAATTTTTTACCACTTCTTAATTCTTTGATTGTTCACACTGAAAATAAAAATTAAAAATGTTACGTCTTATCTACACAATCGAGCATGAATGCGGACAAACAATATAATGATTGTATCGACCTATTTTAGAACATCCTTTGCCATTTGCTAATAAGACAGGGTTTTTTTTGTCAAGAATGAAAAGTTCATTTCGAATCAAAACTATTTTGAATCATTTAGTTTGTTTTTTTTTTGATTCTATAAATGAATCTCTTATAAGATGATGCAGAACTGTTCATCATTAATAAACTTACTAATCGAAAAAAAAAGATAATCATGTACCTTATTTTACTGCTTATTCAACCAATCTTATCTAATCCGTACATTGAGCAAAGGTCAAAAGGACGCAATAGACTACTAAAATGAAGGTCGATGATGACATGATTGAAGACTGTAAGGCAAACAATATAATTTGCACATAATAGTATAAAAATAGAAATTTATTGCTTTGTGTAAATCGTTGACAAACAAAGCAACTTAAAAATATCAAGACAAACAGATACAATCTGATGTCTTCCATTACCCTAGAGAAAAAAGTCATCACAATCTAGTCTGAAATGACATGATTACAGGATAGATTTATGATAAAAAATTGATGTATTTGTATTGAATCGAAATTATTGATTGATGAATGCAATGACGGATACAACCTATGAGAAGAGTCAATGATAAATTATACTAATTCTTTTTTTATGTAAATAGATAATATAAAGTATCAAATTAAATCAAATATCGATTTGATACAGAAAATCTGTTTTAAATTACAAATATCGTCACATTGTTTTTATGAAACACGATCTAAAAGGTTTTTTGAAGTATAAGAGTTGAAATTCTGATCTCACAAGCCGTAACACACATTGCTTGTATACGATTATAAACCGTACGTCAATAGCATGTCTTGTTATAATAAATGAACTATTTTCTCATTGCATTGCTGGAGCATTAAGTAAAACAATGGTGAAGCAATATATTCCAAAATAGATAGAATAAAGCAATCTTTCTGAGATTAGCATCAGAAACTTGATAGTGTTTCACATTTTTATTCCATAAGGATTGCGCTAGCAGATTTTTTTTTTTCATCTCGGTACAAATTATTATAATTACAAAATTTCTTTCTGAAAAATATTTTTCTTATAAAAATAAATTGATCACGTTACAAAAGTTATAAAACATCTTTGAAAGATTATGCAACTGACTAGACATGTTCATTATCATCATACTCATTTGTACTAAGAAAAAACAAATGATAACCATCCATAGACACAAATCTTTTTTTCTCTTCGTAATCTACATTTGATAATTCACAGCAGTAAAACCTTGATAAAAATAGTATATGACAACCTGAAAGAAAACATATGGCCAATGAAAAGAGTCTTGTCTCAAGGCATGTTTATGAAGTATCATTGAGTATATTATAATTCTTTGTGCGTGGATTATGTCAATATATAATAGGTGTTTTTTTTTTACACGTGAAAACAATAGATTCATTGTTTAAACGGATTAAAAATAATTATATTCATAACAGACAGAGACTAAGCTGGGTTCTATAGCAAAATAGGGTCTACTTCTAATGATAAAAAGATTAAACTAAATCAATGACTCAAATTATTTCATGTGTTAAAAAAAAAATCCTAACGGTAATTCATTTTCCAGTTTGATAGATCTTTTTCATTAATAATGTAGAAAAGGAAATTAATTATTTCCTGTATTATAACAGAGAAAAATTAGCATATTCATTCAAAAAAAATAATAAAACCATACATAAATATATATAGAGTTCTATTGTTATAGATAATTAAATTTTCTTTTGTAGATTGTTTTTTAATAAAGATTTCTATTCTATTACTTTAATACAAATACATCAATTTGTTAAGAATATTTTTCGCGAGAGATGTTATCTTTCTTAGTGACTGGTCACAATATTTACATGATGAAAATATGCCCTTAAAATCCTTCATTTTTGATTAATTATTCATTATGCTTTCAAATTCAACGTCACATGAGATAAATATCAAATATTCGCACAATGTATTGTGTTTGATTACATTTTTGATAAGCAATATTTTGTCAAGAATGATACCTTCTTTGCTCTCTAATTAGATTTCGGATGGATATTCATATATGTCAGAAATGAAAAAAAACATGACGACAACACAATGAAATTTGTGTGTGCATGTGTACATGAGAGAGAAAAGTTAAATACAAACAACAGTAAAAGATATAACGACTACATTATGTTAGTTGAACATAATACAGCAAAGAAGCAAGAAGACTTGCCGTCTTCAATAGGCTTATCGAATGACTATTTACGAGCTTTTTTATGATGTACATTGCCAGTCGTATTTGGCATCGATGAGATATGTTCTGTTACAGATCGTTGTCGACTTGGTTCGCTTTGAGCAATTGTTGTAGACGGTATTAAATATTGAACAGCTGAGACAGATGAATCACTTAGTGCTTTTCCTCGATAATATGTAGGTTCAAGTATATTACTAAGTTTACCAGAATTAACTATTGGAATAGTATTTCTTTGTTCGAGATCATTAGATTTTTTTCTATTTGATTTTGAACGTGATGTTTTACGTTTATGATCATCCATTTCATTTGAACCATTATCATCTTTGATTTTTATTTCATTAGATTTCTATAAAAATAAGAATATTAAATTATTCAACGAGGAAAAATCAAAAAAAAAAAACAATACTTACATCAATTAAGTCTGTTTCAGATGATTTAATTGTTTCATTAATTCTTTCTTGTAATGCTAATTGTTGTTTTATATAATCCATTAAAGCTAAATGAGCAAATAAATATTGATCTTCTGTTTGTACACTACCAGCACGTTCTGTTCTCATTTTAAGTACTGTTGATGGTATATCAATACTTTTCTTTTCTAAATATCTTTTTATTCCAATATCAATTGCACAAAATGTTCCTGTACGTCCAATACCAGCTGAACAATGAAGAAGTATTGGTCCTTTCGTTGATGTTATTTGTCGATAATATTCAACTTTATCAAGAAATAATAAAGCATCTTTTGTATTGGATGGTATACCATGATCAGGCCATTTAAGATAATGTGCATGATAAATAACACGAGTTTCGGCATGATTTTTTTTTCTTAATAATAATGTTGTTATAATAAAACTTTCAAATTTTTCTGATTTTTCATTTTGTATTTGATATAGACCAGCATTGGTTATCTCTTTTGATTGTGTTGGCCAATATGGAAAACATTTCATAGTGCCTGATTCACGAATATTTGTTGTCATAACAATAATTGTTACATTTTCTTGCCAAACCATACGCCAAAAATCTTTAACTGTTGTTTGAAGTGGTCCTAAAATTAAATATTTTAAAATACAAAAAAAAAACAAGTCATTTTTCAGTTGTACCTTGAGTAAAAATATAAGCTTTTTCTTGATTATTATATCCAGTAACATAATTAGCATTAATAAAATCATGTTTTTCATCATCATCAGGTTGAAGTTTAACACGAGTTGATTCACCTGGTAAAACATCTCGATAACGAGATTTATCAAGATTTCGTTCTTCTCTATACAAAAAAAAAACCAATTTTATTGAAGAGTTTCTTTATACCTCTTATTACTTTGCTGCATGTGTATCTTTAGCTGGTGGATTGGGTAACTTACGAAATTCTTGTCGAATTTCTGATTGCGTTTTAGCTAAAAATTCTATTGCATTGAATGGTTTATATAAATTATTTGTTGTTCGTTTAATATCACGTTTAAGAACACCATGTTCACAATTTTCACTTTCACTCATACTAATTTTTGTTGAAAAATCAACATTTTCTTGATGATTAATTAATGAAGAAAATGTATTTTCATTTAATATTGATGATTTTGTTGATTGTGATTGACTAAGATTTGAAGAAAAAAAAAATTAATAAATAGAACAAAAATAAAACAAAATCAAAAATAATTTATGTGCAAATATATATGCGAGATATAATTAACTATGGTATTTCTGTTTTTTTTACCTTGACAAATTACGCGCTCTATTCAGTTTTTGATTATTAGAATATTGCCATTGACCAGAATGACGAGAATGACGATGTCTATGATGGTAGTCAGAAAAATAAGCAGCATCATCATCATTGTATTTTAATGATGAAGAATATTGATCACGTGTAGGTGAAATATATGGCATTGGCGTTAATAATGAAGATGATGGATATTCAGTATAAGAATAATACTTAGGTTGTAGAGGATATTGACGAATGACTGGAAATGGATAGATAGATGAGGGCATTTGGGAAGGATAAGTGTTCATAGTTGAGAGAAATACTAAGTTAATCGATAATGACGACAATAAGTAGAGAAAGAAAAAAAGGAACTAATAGTTACTAAATGAATAGAGCGACGAGCAAAATGAGAGTGTGGGTGTGCTTGAGGTAGTGGAGCATGGACAGGAAAGAAAGAGAGAAAAGAAGACGCCTCTCATTTTCTCTTTCCCTTTTTTTCTTTCTGTCTACCTATCCTCTAATACATATATACGCTAGTCTATGTTGATGACACTCATCAGGGATGAATATATAATGGAGATAAACTTGTCAGATCAATGACATAAAACAAAAACATTGTACACCTGTGTACCTACAATCGATTTATCAAACTTATTTTAATGATACATTAGATAAATCCGATCTAAATTTTAACACATATTTCAATAAATACGTCTTCATACCATGTCATTTCGCGTTGATTTTTACGTGCCATTGTCACAAAAAAATAACAAGAGAAAGATATTAGTAATCGACAGTAAGAATATTTTATGTCTGCTGACATGTGTGTGTCTTTTCTGTTACTAGGTGTTTTTTTTTTCTTCTTTCTATTTTTCTATTGTATGCTTTTCAGCCCACGTACGACTCTAATGCGAATGAAAAAGATTATTTTTTTCGACGACATAAAAACAAAAACGAATTAATTGATTATTTACTCGAAAGATATTTCTTGTGGTATGTAAGTTAATGAGTTCATAATTGATGGTTCTTCTTGAATAATACTTTCATTCGATCGTCGTCGTTTATCACTGTCGCTGGAAGACGATGATTCACGTTTCCGTACACGCACTTTTGATAATGATGATGATGATGATGATTCATGATGACGTCTTAATGCGACAATAGCTACTAATGATCTTGGTGATGTTGTCGATACTGTTGTTGAAGATAATGCTGATGTTGTTTCTTGGTTTTGATGATGATGATGATGATCAGTATTATAAAATATAATATTACTTGTAGCTTTTGTTGTTACAGGCTGACAATCCAATGAATAATATGAATGACATATTGATTGAGAATCAGTTACTGTTGATAAACATGTTTGATAACGAATATTACCATCAAGTGTTGGATCCAATGAACCACCCAATGATATTGGAATATCATCTAATGAATAACCATTATGTGTTATAAGTACGTCACGCATTTGATCCGGTGTATACATTGTTACCTAAAATATTACATGAGAATATAATTTAATAGAATTTCAATATATGAATGAAAATATATGTGTAAATAGTGAATATAACGAACTATAGACACTAAAAGACAAGAACATGCGTGCAATAATGTGATACAAACATATTCTACATAAAATATTCTTTTTGTTAAGTTAATACTCATTTCATGTTATTCTCACCCTATCACGCAGTTTTCGACTTAAAAAAATTGAGAGTACCTTAAAGGCTATCTTGAACCATTTTGGTGCTGAAATAATATATATATTCTTTACCATGGCTGGATAATTACCCTATATTAAAAAACAAACAAAAAAAAATATTCTATTTAATATGAACCAAAAGCAAAATAACTTACTTGTAGAAGCTTGAGAATTTTCCTACAAAGATTCTTATCAAATTGAAATGCTGAACAATTTTGCATATCATAAATAAAATTTAAACCACTACTTTGAATTTCCACACTAAAACAAATAATAAAATAAATTATAAATTAATTTTTTTTTTTTTTGTTTTGAAATTAACCTTTCAGTGGCAACATCAAGTTGACAAATTAATGCTTGTAACGAAACTAACTCTCGATCTTGTTGTGAAAGTGAATTTGTTGATGTAATATCAATAAGATGTGCTGCTGTAAAATAAACATTCAATGGTTGATTTGGTAATTGTTGCTAATAATGAAATTAGAGCAAAATATATATATCATATCAATAGAATTATTTAATACATACCAAAGAAAAAAATTTATTCGATTGAATTTCACGTATAAGATGAGGATTATTAATCCATATACGATCGAGGTTTTCAGTTTTACGAACATTCTAATGAACAAAAAAGAAAAGAAAATTAAGAAATGAATTTTTCCATTAATACTCAACACTAACTTCATGTGCTCTATACAAATTAATTGCTCGATTAACATCAAATTTCATTGGAATTAAAAATTTCATTGCTATTTTCCATTTAACACGTGCTTCATCCGTTGATGAATTTACTGGCCAACCCATACGTTTAAGAAAATTTTCAGTTTCCTGCGAAACAAACACAAATAATATTTGTCACAAAAAATAATTAATTTATTTGTTTACGGATCGAACAAGCTCATGAACATCATATTCGATAATCATACAGGGACTACACGGCATTATGCTATACTATAACGTAGTAAACTTCTATGACACTTTTTATAGACCACATTAGATTACAGTCGCCGAAAAGAAAATTTATTCTTAACCAAACATCACCGACGTCTGCCGTTTTTTTCCGCGAAAAACTCAGTCAAATTTTGTCGGCTTTTATTATTTAACAGAACATAAAATTTGACGCTCTTCTTTATCCTAGAAAGGCCTACTGTACCGTAGAATGTGGTTTCTTCTCAAACATAAAAGAGATAACGTATGCAAAAAAAATTAATCTATTTTTGTCAGATTTTATAAATACATAAAATGAAACAATGATTATCGATTTGATAAGTTTTTTTTTTTCGTAGAATTGATCTAAATTGAAATGATTTTCTGAAAATTATTCCTTTTGAAAAATTTTCTACTAAAGTATATAATAACCTTCTAGCTGAATTTTAAGAAAATAATTATAATTATTAATAATAATTATACACAAATAAAGCTTATTAAAAATCATCGAAGAAAACGGTAAAAGACTTCGAAATATTAATTTTAATTTTATTTTTAGAAGTCTTGAGCTAATTAATGGCAGATTAATCACAAAATGTAATTTGAAGAAATTGAATATAATTAAAGATTTACTGTACTCTCGAAAATGAAGTAAATAGACAAATATTCACAGCTACAAAATCTAATCCAATATATTTTTCTGAATTACGTTTAATGAAAATGTTTTTTGAACCCATTTTTTCAGTTCAACAAAGCAGAATATTAACAATTGCACTTCAAAATTAAAGACACGTTACTCTCTTCCTTGAAATTTCTAAGATTCTTTATCAGAAAGAAAACCTCACCTAGTAGCACATTATATTGATATCCTCTTTAATTTAATTTCGATTTTCAAGAGTAATAATGTTTTTTGACATGCATATGCAGACACACACCCTAATACTTTCTCTATCGTATATACATACACGAGTTGATTGTGTATACAATGTTCGATCGCTCACATTGTCACTTAATGGACGATATTTTAGAAGACTGACCGATGGTTTATCATGTACATGATTACCACCTATAGCATTATTTGTTTGTCCTTCAATCACAGCATTTACTGCAGATGATGTTTTGAAAGGTTTCATAGCAACTGATCGAATTAAAGATAAGAAATCATTAGAAGTTGAGTGTCGATTCTGGATGGAATTAGTGTTGGTAGAATTTGAAGGCGCACTTGTTGAAACAGCCTGTTTCAAGTGTGGAGTACTAATTGGTCTAGGTCTTGATCTTGTTTCAATTAATGGTATTGTCGACCCTGTTGTTGAATAACGTTTTATATCTATGGGTATTCGACGGCTAACGGGTTCATAGAGAGAACATTGGCTTGTAAAACGAGTTTCGTCTATTACATCAGTAGCCATAATAGTTTTGTTCTTGGTTTCTATCTGTCGTTTACTTTATGATTTGCACCTTTTTTTCAGTTTTTCTTTTAATGTTAGACAATTAAGAGAAAACGATTGAGACAAGGTAAGAAAAAGCAAGGCAAGCGTAACGTAATGAAAAAAAGAAGGTGTATATATAAATAGATACACGTTTCTTTTGCGTACAACGTTTTGTGCTTTCCGTTGGAAGAGAAAAAAGGTTCAAGTATAGGAAGCAGACCGATTCATAATACGACGACGAAAAACACGTTGTTTATTTCGACTTTGACTTGCTCGTTCTCTTGTCCTGTGTTATTTTTCTTTCTCGTCACAGGTGAAAGAAAAAAAATTCGAGTCGATAAAAATGTTCTTTTTCTCTGTCTCTCTCTCTCTTTTTCTTCATTCTTTACTATTGTATATAGCTCAAATTTCTCTTGTTCCAGTATGCTATTTTTTTTTCACCCCATTGTGCCCGATTGCATGCTCACATGCGTGCACACAATGAAGTGTCTAGGTGTTCATTTTTTTTTGAAGCTCTCATTAGAAAAGATAGATTTCTTTGTATCATATTTTTTTTTTGTGCTTATCAAATGAAATGAGTTTTATTGAGTCACATGAAAAAAAAATTTTAATTGAATAAATAAAACAGGAGATAATTTTCTATTATTTTTTTCACACATCAAATTGATTAATGATAATTGATTATGAATAAAAATAAAAACAGAATAAATAGGCACTTTCCTATCTGATCTAATTTTCTAATTTATGTTATTGGTAATCTATACTGACGTCACTGATGGTACGCGAATCAATCGATATCGTTAATGGTATTCCGACCATTTTTTTTTGTTTTTCTCTTATTAGTAATAGATTCTTTAAAAAAATTTTGTTATTTATTGACACTAACTAGATCAAAATAATGATGATTCGAAAGCATCATACATTGAGGATCAGCAAGTAGAATAATTAAGAAAACTGAAATATTCATTAATCAATGGGCATGTTTATTTTGTTAGTGTCACGCATTTGCCCTTCATGTTTATTAACCAAAAAAAAAAAAAAGAGTAATGCTGATGTTTAATATACATAAATGAGTCTTCAGTTTGACCGATTGAACTCTGCCATAGGCGGAAAAGGATAATCAAGACAAGAGGAAGAAGAGTACTTTGACTTCTTTCTTATATTATATGAAGATGGAAGTGTTAAGTCTATATAACATGACATAACTATGAATACAAAAAAAAAAGAATTTTTCCGACAGCATTTATTTAATAAACTTACGTCTCTTTGTTCTGGTCGAATGTCCATAACAACTTCAATGTATCAATCTAGAATACAAATGAAAGACGTAATAATAATAACAATAGCAAATAAACATTTTCAAAAAAAAAAAAATCTGCCCGCCATTTAACACCAATCGTCATTTTGAAAAAAACGAATCGACGATATATTTTTTTTTCATCATCAAAAATGTTTTTCTGTTGATTTTTATGTTTTTGGTATTTATTAAGCATTGACACGTCTTTTCTATTTATAATTTTATTTATTTATGGCTAATAGTAATCATGATAGTCACCATCGATTATATAATACATCAATAATAAGTTCTGATCAAATTCAACATGGATCATTGAAAATTTTAAAAAATGAATTTTCTGATTTAATTAAAGATCCACCTGAAGGATTTATTGTTGAACCTGATCAAAAGGATTTTTTTACTTGGCATGTTGGGATATTCGGTGCACCAGATACACTTTTTGCTGGTGGTTATTATAAAGCTATACTTAAATTTCCTTTTGATTATCCTTATCGACCACCAACATTAAAATTTCTTTCTGATATATGGCATCCAAATGTTTATCCCGATGGAAATATATGTATATCTATTTTACATGAACCAGGTGAAGATGAACATAGTGGTGAAAAAGCTTGTGAACGATGGACTGTTGCACAAAATGTTCGATCTATTTTATTAAGTATAATATCAATGCTTAATGAACCTAATACATCATCACCAGCTAACATTGATGCTAGTATTGAATATCGAAAATATAAAGAAGATCCAATTAATCATCCAATATATAAAGAAAAAATCGAGTAAAAACTCAAATAATGTGACGACCTAATGTCTTATTTTGAAGAGGGGAAACACTGTTCAAAGCCACCATTCTGAGCTTGTTTATGATAGAGAATTTTTCTTTTCTTTTTTTAATAAGTTTTTCTTTTCGACGAAAAATTGAAAAGATTGAGGACTACTTCATAACTCAACTGTGGTTCTCTGGTGTTGTCTGCAAACATCTAACGATTTTGGCAAGTTTCTGCTCATCAAGTTCAATGGTAAATGTACAGTATTTAGCATCAATAGATAGAGAATTTTATACTCTATGTCTCAAAGATCTTTTCAAGGCTTCTAATGATGTCACTGAAGTACAGAAGGCTTGAAACTAATACTTACCGGTATCTTGTTTCGAATGCGTTTTCGAAACTGGTGTTTTCAAAAGTGAGCATGCTCTATGAGCACTTTAACAGTATATCATTGAGTATAGAACTTAAATTTGAAGATATACTAAACAACGAAAATCCTTCGATTGCCCTCAGCAGCATAGAACTGGGAGAAAGATTCATTCACGTTGTTTCTTTTTTCTAAAATTGTGAAACACTGTGACATGCAGGTCTTACTGCATATTTTTAACAATTGTTGTGTTTTTCTGACAGTCATAGTTCAATCGCTGACGATGAAGCTATCCTTCTTTCCGTGAACCTTTCTCGCCGAGTTATGATCTGTTTACTGGATTTTCAATCCATGTTTAGGTACTATTTGGAAGATCAGATAACGAAGCTTTGATCCAAAATGTTTGCTATAGATAGGTCTTATGACTCTTAGGATACCCAATAAGTTTCAATCGAAAAGAATGTTTCTTTATCAAACTGTTGAATTTTTGAGTGAGCTCGGTTTTTGTTACATATCTGTGACAATGGGCTATTGTTGGAAATTCCATATCTAAACAAAAGGACATATTTTTTTTGACTGAAACTTCTAGAATACTCTAAGAGCTATTAGACGTATCCATAAGCAAAGTTTTGGATCAAAAACTTCGTTATTCGATTTTCCGTGAAGTACCTAAAAATGGATGAAAAAACCATCAAACCGATCATCATACAGTGACAAATGTTCGTAGAGACAAACCCTTTTAGACTTTTGTTAGTCTCAGTGAGATCAGCCTGTGGGTCCAATATGAGCTGCAAATGGCGAGTGTTACTTGGGATAATTCGTGCATGAATAGCTGTGAATCTTTTTCAATTTTTCTGCGACAAGAGAAACCTATGTGAAGAAAAAGAATTGACAGTATTTTAGAATGAGAAATTCTCTATTGAATGAGCTTGGAATGATGTCTGTAAGACAAAAAAACTCAAAGTAACCCATTCTTTTTGAGCCAACCGTTACTTCAATTGAAGTAAAAAAAAAAAACAATATTCTTTTTTTTATCGTAGTCTTTTAACTGAGAAAAGTAAAACAATAGCAAAATTAGAAGGTATTGAAATTCCTCGTACAATAGAGGAATATACAAAAAGATTTGATAAAAAATTACCAATAACATCAATTGATGACATACAAAATTATTTAATTGATGATGATGATGAACAATCTGAAGATAATCAATCCAATGATAATTATTCTCAAAATTCTTGTGAAAATTTACGTATAAAATTAATAACAAATTCTGAAATTAAAATTGCTATGAAATCAATAACTAAACATAATAATAATAATAGTTGTGGTGACTGTGACCATCTTTTATATCGGAAAAAAATGAATTTATTTAATTAAAACAATGCTATTTGATGAATAGATACATAAAAGACAAAGACAAAAAAATAGTTAGTAGCGCTAAATAAAATGCCAGAAAATAAAAACAAAAAAAAAACTGGGATTGATAAGTCTAGATGATAAGATTCTCTATTAATTTATAATGTCATAAAAAGAGAAAAATATGAAGTCGAGCACAAAATCTAATGCAAACTGTTCTGATCAATAAATTGCGTCATATGTATAAAGCAAAAAAAAAAAAAAAACTAAATATTAAGGTCATCAGATCAATATAGTGCTGCTCGATTTCACAACAATATACGAGCAAACTCCTGAGAAATATATATAAGCTCAAACCCTTTTTTTTAGAATGGTTTTGCTTGCAATTGGAATATTTAAAATTATGGGAATAAGGATTTAAAAGGCAACAGAAAAAAAAATATATATGAACTCTAAAACTAAAGTCATTTAACACGTAAAATAGGTGTTTCTAAAAGTAGTTCACTGTCAGCAGATACAATTGGAATTTGGCCTGATTTATGATATGATATGAGATGTTGAATTGAATCAAATTCATAATCTTTGGTACGAATCTATATACAAGAATTTGAATATGATTTTTATTTCTATTGTACTTACAGCTCCTTCAGGATCAACAAGAAGTAAATGTTTAAAGTGACTTTGACAACGACCTGATAAAATAAATTGTCCAGGAATTTTTACACTTTCACGTACAAGAAAATCACCATTATGAGTTAATAAACGTTCAGCCTAGAAAATTCAGAATATATACATCACAGTTGATATGAGAATTTAGTTGGGGTCGAAAAGAAAAATGGCGAAACTACAAAAAGATTGAACATAGCTATGTCTCCAGGATGAATATGGATGAAAAAAAGACAAGAACTCATAGTCATACCCTTACGAAGAGACAACCGATCCGACTGATAATCCTCTTTTGAGCTCATATTTTGCTTACAGGTAAGAGTTTTACTGTAGATAAAAATTTCATTAGATATTTTTTCTTGAGTTATGATTATTTTACTGATCTTTAAGCATGTGTCGCAGTATATCACGAGAAAAAAAAATCGAACAAGGAGTTTTGCTGTGAAATTCTTTCTGACAATATCTCTCATGGTCCATATGATATGCTAAAAGTTTTAGCAGGAAAGGACGACGTTTTTTTTTTGGA